AATCTTATAATGTTTAGAAGAGCTCGTAAATCCGAACACTAACGCGTTTAAACTAGAACAACAGCGTTTTCAATCTCAGAAAGGCGGAACTGACGTGCGTGGCGTTTGTTTCCGCCGGAACCAGAAACAGCTGGAACTCTACAAAATATAAACAATGCAGGGGTTTTACTGTAAATGAAGCAGATATGAGGTCTGTCAACAGGCTGTTTAGCAGTAAATGGAGGAGGTTGTCCTCATACACACAAGGACAGAGTCCAGAAGCGAGAATCAGAGAGTATTTCTACTATATCGATCATCAAGGACAGGTATAATTAGATTATTATTATAGACTATTATTACTGCTGACATTGATGTCAGTCCCATAATCATGACTTATTTTCTCTCTTGTCAAGCTCTTCCTGGATGACACCAAGGTGAAGAACTTTGTCACCTGTTTCAAAGGTATTTGGGCATCAACAGTAAAGCCAATATAAATATATATTTGTGAACCCTTAGGTTACTTTTAATATAAACTTGTGTGCATACATGTTCTTATGGGATATGCATATGTCTTGTGATCTGTATTACATTAATATAAACCTCTTACACAGTGACTGACTTACAGTACAATAGAGTTAATCCTCTTATACTTTTCTGTAGCCTACTTAAAATTGCTCTTACTGTGGCGTAACATGGTACAGTGATAAAATAATACCACAGTACTGTATGGTTACAACTTACCATATTCAATATTTAACCCAAATAAAACTGAAAACATAATAATAGGAGAACCATGAACATGCGAATGTGTCATTAAATTATTGCGTTGTTAGCATGATTTATCATGTTGCTAACATGATTTAGCATCCTGATTTAACCTAAAGATGAACCTTTAGGTTCATCAATCTAAGGGGAATGATGGCGCCGCTGTGTTTGGCTGGCCGTCTACCTTTGCTCTGTGTGTTATTGTGTTTGTTAATCTTGTCACATTTTGCACAGAATGTGTCACCACTGTTAGTTTACGATCGCCAGACTCTTCTGAACATAAGGAATTATGTGGTTAATTCTAAAATTCGTGGCTATAGTGGACAGTCCGAGACGCCGCCACCACTACTGTCATCACTACCTTCGCACCTGTGGCATGTGCCCAGTGTGTTACCTGCCATTAATCGCTATAGAAAACGCAGCAGACGACGCGGCCGGAGAGGCGGGAGATTTGCAAGATTAAGAAGAGCCTACCTGACTCTGGCTTCGGCATCTGATCCTCGCAGTTTCACGGAGTTCGCTCGGGAGTACGACGGCTACGCTGTAAAGTGTTCCTCAGAATACTGCTACCGGTGGCTCCGACCCATTGTCCCTGACGCTGTGGATCCCGACGCTGTGAATATACATCCGATCCGACGGCCCATAAGGATCCGTAAACGGCATTCCGAAAAGGAGAATCTTCGCCCGCTTGCAAGTATCCCTCAGCAGTCTAGCCTCAACACTGTACGTGTTGCTTTGATCAACGCTAGATCGCTAACTAACAAAACGTTTATTCTGAAAGATTTTTTTATTTTGCACTCTTTGGATTTTCTTTTGTTGACGGAAACCTGGGTTAAACCAGGTGACAACAGTGCCTTTACAGAGCTCCTCCCACCTCACTGCTGTTTTTTCAGCTCCCCGCGAGTGTCGGGGCGCGGAGGAGGCGTGGCTTGTTTTTAAGGACAAATTTAAATGTCGACTTTTATCTACAAATAATTATTCTTGTTTTGAACTACAGCTATTTTTAATCGAGTTTACATGCCCTGTGTTATGTGCTGTTGTTTATCGTCCACCCAAATACAATAAGAATTTTATTCAAGAGTTTTCCGAATTTTTAGCTGATGTTGTCCCTAAGTACGACCAAATTTTTATTTGTGGTGACTTTAATATCCATGTGTGTTGTCCGTCTGATCTGTTGAGTACTGAGTTTAAACGACTTTTGTCCTCTTTCCAGTTAAATCAACTGGTGGACCGACCCACACATCTTATGGGACACACTCTAGACCTTATTATGTCTTATGGGCTCTCTATCTCCCTTACTGAAATATCTGAGACTGCTATCTCGGATCATTTCCCTGTTATTGTTGAATTTCCAGTCCTGCCTTCAATAGCCAGTAAGTCTAGTGTTTTGCCATGTTATCGTCGTATTCTCACCTCCTCAACGGCTGAAGAATTTACGGATATTTTTATGGACTCTGAATGTTATGTCTTTAGTGAATCTGATTATTCTATATGTTCTGATGGCATGCTTTCAGTTTTTAATTCTACCTGTTCTGAAATTTTAGATGTTATTGCCCCTTATAAACACAGAGCTCCTAAGCTAAGAACAGATCCCTGGATAAATGATGCCACCCGCACCGCTAGGCAGCGCTGTAGACAAGCTGAGCGGAGATGGAAGAAGGACAAATTGTATGTGTCCTTGGAAATATTAAGGGGCTGTCTTCTTGATTATCAAGGGGCCGTAAGGGAAGCAAAATCCAAATATTTGTCAAGTGTTATCACTAATAGTGGGCATTGTCCAAGGGTGATGTTTAATACAATTAATTCTGTCGTAAACCCGCCTTCTTGTTCTCTGACGGATGCCTCAGTCTCCACTTGTGAGAATTTTCTTAGCTTTTTTATTAATAAAGTGGAGTCCGTCAGACAACTTACGACTAATAGCTCTGCAACTGACTCAGTTGTTGCGGCAACTCATTCCACTGTGCTTGAAGAGTTTGAGCCAGTCTCATTATCATTCTTTAACGAAGTAGTGCAACAAATGAAAAGTACAAACTGTCCCATGGACTTTATTCCAACTAAATTGCTAAAAGAGGTTCTTAGCACAGTTGGGCCTTTCTTGTTGGTATTTATTAATAAATGTCTTAGCTCAGGATCTGTCCCTGCTGAGTTCAAACATGCTGTGGTTAGGCCTTTTCTCAAAAAACCGAATCTGGATCCCTCAATTCTGTCTAATTTCAGACCAGTTTCTCACTTGCCTTTTCTGTCAAAAGTTTTAGAAAAAGTTGTTTTTTTCCAATTACATTCTTTTTTAGAAAATAACTCTATGTTTGAGAAATTTCAATCAGGATTTAGATCGCGCCATAGTACTGAGTCTGCACTGTTAAAGGTACACAACGATATTGCCCGGTTTGTTGATTCTAAGAGCCCCGTTATTTTAGTGCTTCTCGATCTCACGGCGGCCTTTGATACAGTGGACCATGCAATCCTTCTGTCTCGCCTTAATCACTATGTTGGCATTAAGGGTACTGCGTTTCAGTGGTTTTCGTCTTATTTGACTAATAGAACCTATTCTGTAGTGATTGGGAATTCGTCCTCTTCTACTACTTCTCTTTCCTGCGGGGTGCCACAAGGCTCTATTCTCGGACCAGTTTTATTTTCACTCTATATGCTGCCCCTTGGGTCCATCATAGCCAGGCATAACATAGCTTATCATTGCTATGCTGATGATTTGCAGATTTATTTGCCGATGAGTCCAACAAATAGTGATGCATCTGGGTCACTAATTGATTGCATTGACGACATTAAATTATGGTTAGGAAAAAACTTCCTTAATTTGAATGAAGATAAGACCGAATATATTTTATTTGGCGAGTCTGCAAACGCTGACCCAAATACAGTAATTTCAAAACTTAGACCGACTGTGAGAAATCTCGGTGTGACTTTTGATAGTAGCCTTAAATTTGACAAGCAAATTGACAGCGTGGTAAAAGCAAGTTTTTTTCAACTACGCCTATTGGCCAAGGTCAAACCATTTTTAAATCGTTCGGATCTTGAGAAAGCTATTCATGCTTTTATTAGCTCAAGACTAGACTATTGTAACGCACTCTACGTGGGAGTTTCACAGTCCTCGCTCAGGCGCCTTCAGCTGGTGCAGAACGCAGCAGCTCGCCTTTTAACTAATACACGCAAACGTGAGCATATAACTCCTATTCTTTCTTCACTCCACTGGCTTCCTGTTTCTTTTAGAGTAGATTTTAAGATTTTATTGTTTGTTTTTAAAGCTCTCAACGGCCTTGCTCCACCTTACGTAACTGAGATGCTAACATTGCGAGAGTCAAACAGGAATCTTAGATCAACAACTCAACTCTTGTTGGAAGTCCCAAGGACAAGGTACAGACTCTGGGGTGACCGGGCCTTTTCTGTAGCTGGGCCAAGACTTTGGAACAAGCTACCTGCCGACTTACGAATAACCACAGACTTAGGCCGTTTTAAAGCGAAGCTTAAGACTTATTTATTTAGACTGGCTTTTGTATCGTAGCATTGGTTTGAGTCATTCTGTGTTTTCTTTTCTTTTCTTTTTTGTTTTCTTTGTTTTCTTTGTGACATACATTTATTATATATCTTGATTATATATTTTATTTTTATATTTTGCTTTGTATTGTTGTTGTTGTTTTTGGAAAGCACTTTGGTTCACCTTGAGTGTTGTAAAGGGCTGTATAAATAAATGTTGATTGAAATGTTGATTAACATCCACCATTTTGTTAGCATGATTGCCATTTGCTAGCATTTTTTGCTAACATGAATTAACACGTTACTAGCATGTTGCTAGCATTATTATAATGGAGGTAGCATGTTTGTTTACATGATATCACGATTAACATGTTGCTAGCATGATTTACCTCGTTTGTTAGCATGTTCTAGCGTGATTTAACATGTTTTAACACATTGTTAGCATGAATTAACATGTTGCTAACATGATTTAGCTTGCTGCTGATTAACATTTTACAAATATGATTTAACACGTTGCTAACACATTTTAACATTTTGTTAGCATGATTAGCATGTTGCTAGCATGTTTTGCTAACATGAACTAACACGTTCCTAACATGTTTTAACATGTTGCTAACATTATTAGAATTTTGTTAACCTGTTGCTAGCATGAATTAACACAGTCCTAGCATGTTTTAACATGTTGTTAACATGATTAACATGTTTTAACACATTGTTAGCATTACTTAGTGTGTTACTAACATGATTTAGCTTGCTGTTAGCATGTTCATGTTGGTAACATGCTAGCATGATTTACATTTTGCAGATATGATTTAAACGTTGCTAACATATTTTAACATGTGATTAGCATGTTGCTAGCCTGTTGCTAGCATGAATTAACACATTCCTAGTATGTTTTAACATGTTTAGCATGTGGTTAACATATTTTAACAGATTGATAGCATGAATTATCATATCTTAGCATGTTTTTAGCAGAACAGTCTACGGGGAAGAAAATTAATGTGATTTTACAACTCTTTCTCTCTGCTCCGTCTCTATTAGACCAGCGCTTCTTAGTTTTCTTCTTCAATCGTCTGAAATTGAACGAGAGTGGCCGTTACCAACAGGACTTCCCCTTCCTCTCGCTCTGCGGACGCGAGCGCAACTTCGTGCGCTGTGATGATCAGCCCATCGTTTTCACGCACCTGTTATCGGAGGCGGGGCTTGAGGACCGTCTGTCATACTGTGGAGGCGGAGCTAAACTCACCGTTCCGTTCCAACCGGAGTCTCTTTTCATGCAACCGGTGAGCGGCAGACTGTACCATCCCGGACCTGAGCGGGGGGGAGGGGTGGGGTTGGTACGGTCCGCGTTGGCCATTGATCTGAGTGCACACTTCGAGTTCGCCACGGGTCAGGACAGTCCAGGACAACCCACTCATTTCATGTGGGCGGGGCGTCGTCACACACTAACGAAAGAGTTGGCGACACATTTTCATGCTCAAAAAGATTCAACATGATTCTGTCTATCTAGCATTGTGACCATTAAAATCCCGCTGTGAGTTTTGAACACACTGCTGAAATAAATGTATATTGTGTCTAATGGCTGGTCTGATTTCTTAATGTTTGTTACATTTTATCTCAAACTCACGGTGTTGGGGAAAGTTACTTTTAAAAGTAAGGCATTATTACAATATTGCGTTACTTACTTTTTATGAAAAGTAATGCATTACATTACTTTTGCGTTACTTTTTCTCACCTGGGCTGGGCTTGCTTGTTTGTTTGTTTTTAAATAACAACAAAAAAAGTTATATTTTTGGCAAATGTAAAGGCTCTTTTACACCAAAAGTGAAGTGAATAATCCTCAGGCTGAAGGAAATGCATGTTTACTCCTGTACAGTAGAGGGCGCCGCTCAAACAAACCTCTTATTTCTAAATCTAATCTAAAGTAATTATTGCTTATTAGTATGGTTGAATTAGGTAATTGCAGGTCAGCAACAAAGAGATTGGTTAATAAAGTGAGATTAAATACACAAAGTATGTTTGTAATTTAATATAGTTCATTCTAAAAGTTTTTCTTAAAATTCTGAGATTGCATTTTACTGTTTATATTTATTTTGAGGAATACTGAATGTTTTCGTGCAAGTGAGATGAGCAAATGCATGTTCACATTTAGTCTAGAAATAAAATAAATCATGTTTACACAAACACACATACACACACACAACACCTCCTCACTCTATTTCTCTCAACATGGGGACAGGAGAGCTGTCAGTCAATAAATGTGAAAAAGTAACTCAGATATTTTGTTCTAAAGTGAAAAAGTAATGTTACTTTACTAGTTACTTGAAAAAGTAATCTGATTACTTAACTCAAGTTACTTGTAATAAGTTTCCCAGAACACTGCAAACTTTCTTTTTTCCGTACAGCGCAAACATAGAGAAGAAAGAGTATGAGGTGAAAGTACTGGACGCTGCTGATCGCCTAAAACAATAAACAAAGAAATAAAACACCACTAAACTGTCCCTTTAGGCATCAGTACACTACCACATTCATTTTAAAGTCCCCCTGTGGTGAAAATCAAGCTTTCAATGTTGTTTATAGGTGTTTTTAATATGCGTTAAGAAACCATGTGTAAATTCATAAAACAACACCATTGCTGAGTATATATGTACCATCTTCCTAGCATCAAATAAACCTTCGTGGTTAACTAACAATCTGATTGAGCTGTTAGTGTCGTGATATTATCAGCAGCAGGGTCAGGCAGTGTGTTTGTCCCTGCCCCAAATGGCACACTTCAAATGCACTCTCGGTTTTGCGCGTGTCCATTGAGTCCATGAGACCGGAGAGTGTCCCATTTGTCATTTTAGGTTTCAGAGGGTCGATATGCGCCCTCGATTTGTGTGTGTGTTTGTGTGTTTTTAAAGGGACTTTTTTGATTTTATTTTATTAAACAAAGAAGGAAACACGAAACAGTCACGCGCCCTCGATGTTCACAGACTTCAGTCAAAGCGGCGTTACGTCACAAAAGTGCGGACTCGAAGGAAGACCGCGAGTGGTTAGGGTGACATTTGGGACAGAGCCAAAGTGTTGAAACCTCTCAAACCAGTTTACAAACACAGATTGGAGAACACATGAGAGTAGTTGGGCGGAGACTGTATACTAGCAGGAATCCTGTAACCGTGTAAAGGGTCACTCGGTCACGCGTGAGCATATGGTGGGAGACGGGACATACTAAAGCAAAGACGGGAAACACTAATACTGCATGTCGCAAAACGACAACAACAATAACAAGCAGATACACTGAACTGAAACATGGCCACACGTGAGGGAAATGAGCACCCCGTGCATCACCGGGTTCCTCCGTTACTCACGGATCTGTACCAGTTCACCATGGCGTACGCGTACTGGCGCGCGCGCAGACACAACGAGCCGGCCGTGTTCGAACTGTTTTTCCGGGATAACCCGTTCGGCGGAGGGTTTTCACTCTTTGCGGGTCTGAGCGACTGTTTGCTGTTCCTACAAAACTTCACTTTCTCGGATGGCGGTGAGCATGTGTACTGCATACACACTTACTTTGTGTCTTTGACTTTTAGAATGCGTCTCAAAAACTAGTACACATTTTTGGGTATGTGTCTTAAAACCTAGAGCACCGAGTATATAATGCATCTTAAAACCTTGTATGCTGCCTAACTAAACAGCATGTCATAAATCCAGTGAGTTAGTTGTCTTAAAACTCATGAGTGTCTTAAAGTCCCACTCCGATCATATTTTTTAGCTATTTTTAAACATTCCCAGTGGTCTTTAAATTATGATTATGCCATTTTTAGCCAAAATCACAAAACCTGTGCCGTTTTCTGGGACTTCGCTTCAGCAGAGCGGCAGTAGCTCATTAGAAATTCGCCTCTGCGTTGTGGGCGGAGCCGTTGGCACGGAGGCACGGGGACGACCCTCCCCCTCCCCATTGCTGAGAGCTCTGTCTCTCCCGCTAGCTTACATCCCCAACCTGTCAATACCGGTGCAACAAAAATGGAGAACAATATTGGAGCTATCCAGCCGTACAGTTTTGAGCCAGATGCCAGCTCGGACGAGGAACAAGACGACGTACATAGATCTAGTCGTCTACAAGTGGATGTATCAGAATGGTAACGTTATTGTTTTTGTAATCTCTTGAATTGACTATTTCAGGCCAATAACTCCTAATAACATGTTAGTAAATAAATATGTTTGTGGACATGCTCCAAACATTTAGTCAGATTAACCTTTTTGAAGTTTTCATAGCTATCACACAAAGAATAAATCATAGTGCTGCAGAATCAAGTTTAAATTTAAGTTTACTTATAGAGCACAGTATGAGCTTGTGGCCCCGCCTAGTGGAGTTACTACGTCACAACTCCAGTCTATTTCAAACGGCATTTTTGCGTCTGCTACTGATTCACAGCCATTTGAATGTAGAAATACTCAGAAATACAACTTTGAGCCTATTTTTCTAAAGATATGTCCTCTAACATAAGAAAAATGCCACAAGAACATGTTAACACCTAGAAAAACATTATTTTCATCGGAGTGGGTCTTTAAAACCTACTTGCGCTGTCTACATAATGCATCTTAAAACCTAATATGCCGCCTAACTAAACAGCATGTTATAAAACCATTGAGCTCCCTAACCAAAACGATTTTTTTGTCATGCATCTTAACATCACTAACCTAGTAGGCTGCATAACTACACAGCATTTTTGGCATGTGTCTTAAAACCTAGTGCACAGACTACATCATGCATTTCAAAACCTAGTGTGCTGCCTAAGTCTCTCCCTACCCAAACAGCTTTGTTTGTGCATGCATCTCAAAATTTAGTATGCAACATATTTTAGTATGCATGTCTTAAAACCTAGTTAACTAACTAGACAGAATTTCTGGTCATGCATCTTAACATTTATTATGCTGCCTAAGAAGACATCATTTGTTAGGTATATGTCCTAAAACCAAGTGACCACCCTACCTAAACAGCTATTTTGGTCATGCATCTTAAAAGTTAGTATGCTGCCTAACTAAACAGCATTTGTCAGGCACACGTCTTAACCAAGTAAGCTCCCTACTCAAACAGCATGCATCTTAAAACCTAGTATGCAGCCTACATAGACAGCTTTTGCAGCTTTCTCTCAACTGATCTGGGCTGTTTCTCAAAAGCATCCTGAGCATTGGTGACATTGGTTCTACGATCTACTTAGGCCTACAATGCTTTTGGGAAACGCAGCCCAGATCTGAACATTTGTGCATGCATTACTAAACCTAGTATGCTGCCTAAGTAGACAATATTAGTCAGGTATGCATCTTAAAACCAAGTGAAATGACTACCTAAACAGCTTTTTGTTGCATGCATCTCAAAGCCTAGTATGCTGTCTACATAGGCAGCTTTTGACAGTGTCTCAAAAATTTGTGGCGACTGCATAGACAGCATTTTTGACATGTCTTACAACCTTGGACCCCGACTACATCATGCATTTCAAAAGCTAATATGCTACCTAACTAAAGAGAATATCTTAAAACCAAGTGAGCTACCTACCCAAACAGCTTTTTTTGGCCATGCATCTCAAAACTTAGTATGCTACAATTTTTTTTGCATGTCTTAAAACCTAGTTAACTTACTACCTAAACAGCATTTTTGGTCATGCATCTTAACATTTATTATGTTGCCTAGCTAGACATCATTTGCTAGGCATATGTCCTAAAAACAAAGGGACCACCCTACCTAAACAGCTTTTTTGTTGACAGAATATTTGGAAATGCATCACTAACTCAGTATGCTGCCATCTCAAAAGCAAGTGATTTTGAAGTATAGTTGACTCAGAACACTCCTGGAAATGCTGTCTAGTTAGGCTGACTAGGTTTTGAGACCATCTCACTGTGTCTTCTAACACGTTTGTTGATATGCACTTGTTCCTTGACATGCATCTCGTAGTCTGATGGCGTTATCTGCAAGTAAGTAGTTGCAACATGAAGAATGCAAGCAAAGTCCATGGAAATGAGTTACTACTGTATTTCAGTGCTGTTCATTCGTGTCTCATGTGTGCTTATGGGATTATTTCTGTGCCTTTAATATTGAACGTGACTTTTCAAGAAATGAATGTAAATATAAATGGACACTGAATAAAATGTCTTTGAAACCAAAAAAAAATAAAATAATTTTTGACTGTTTTTAATACACTGCATGTTTTGCTAACTGTCTTCTCTTTCTTTCACTGATCAGTCAAAAAGTTTTTTTTTTTTTTTCGGTTTCAAAGACATTTTATTCAGTGTCCATTTATATTTAGATTCATTTCTTGAGAAGTTACATTCAATATTAAAGGCACAGAGATAATCCCGCACCAGCTCAGCATCATGTGTGTGTGTGTTTCAGATGTGGAGTATTTGCGCTCCGTTCTCCCAGCGGACACAGACGCCGCTTTCTTCACGTACCTGAAGGAGCTGGACTGCTCGGCGGTGTGTGTGTCGGCGGTGCCTGAGGGATCCGTGGTCTTCGCCCGAGTACGTGAGCGATTCGGAGGTGATCTGGTGTTCTGCTGTGGGACGCTGAGCTCATGTTGAGTTGTGTGTTTAGGTTCCTCTGCTGGAAGTGTCTGGGCCGCTGGCTGTGGTTCAGCTGCTGGAGACCAGTCTGCTCTGCCTGGTGAACTACGCCAGGTAAATACAACAGCACAGTTAAAAACATTCTGCTAAATGACACTCATTCATTATTTTCTTGACTAGGGTAAGTAAATGTTTAGCTTTTTTAGTGAAGTGAAAGGAGTTGCTTACTGGTCAGGAAATGCTTTGGTGCTGTTTTTGACCGAAACATTTAATGTTTTTTTTTGTGTGTTTTTTTACTTCATCGGAATGGTATGAAACTTGGTAAAGGTTTTGGCACTTGCTATGTGAACACAAGAACACATGATTCGAAAAGGTTAAATGGTCCTGAAAAAAAAAGTCACACTTGTGCTCCTCAGTCAAAAATGAGCGCATTGGAAATGAATGGAGACGAATTTCCTCTAGTGAAAGCGTTCGGTACTGCGGCCGAACACACTCTGACTAAACGCTCATTTGTTGAGATATTAACCTCAAATTTGTAACACAACTTGTTTAGATTTATGGCTTTGACTTTCTTGCCGTTTTAGAGTAAAACTTTTTTTTTTTTATATATATATATATTTCATATTAAAATTGAAAATAGTATTTTGTGCATTTTTCATTACAATAAACATACAATTCTATAACTTTGTTCCCTTTTTTAAACTTTTTTCACTTCAGCATTAATCTGCCAAGTGTCGTCTTTGAAAAGAGATCAAACTTCAGTCTGTGCTTTAAAGCATTCAAGATTTACCACAGTTTAAGTTGGAAATTTAATTTTCAAGTCTATGCTCAAAAAGTGAATAAATGGATTTTAATACAGCGTAAATATAATTTAGTACCATAAAATCCCCTAAAAATACAAAATATTTACTAAAAAACATTATCTAACTAAAATATAGTACAATCATTTCATTGAAATAAACAAAAATCTGTCATTTTTGACGGACACGCGAAGAGCGGGTTAAGAAAATGAGGGTTTTTTTTACCAATAAAAATCGAATTAAAATGTAAACAGCTGTTTTCTATATAAATATATTGTAAGATGTACAATATTCCTGTGATCAAAGCATTTCAGCATCATTACTCCAGTCTTCAGTGTCACATGATCCTTCAGAAATCACTCTAATATGATGAAAGTTATTTTCTCCTAAAAGAAAGAATGGTCAGTCTCACTTACGCAACATATCTACGTAGTTTTGTAACAAATTTGCATAATGCTAGCCTACTTTGCCCCGGCCCCAAAAACACAGTAGTTGTAGCTGAGATGCAACATGTCGCGTTGTCGACATTTCGAGAAGACGCTGTTTTCTGGTCTCAGGCTCAAATTAATGCGGTAAAACCGACGCCATCGTGACTGTTCGTATCACTGTGTATCAAACGCTGAGAAAGAGCTGATATTCAGATATGCTAATGAGCGTTTAGTTTCCGACATGCACTGTAAGCAGTCGACCAATCAAAACAGACTGGGCCGTCTGACCAATCAGAGCAGAGCAGCTCTCGGAGAGGCGGGGCTTAGAGAGACAATCTTCAAACGAACCATTTCAGACCCTGTGAGAAAAGAGCTGATGCTGCAGTGGATATTATGAGTGTTTTTATGTGGTATTATAAGTGTTTTTTGACCTTTGTTGCATGTAAACCTGTTGTAGGAGAACTAAAACAAAAGTAGGAACCTTTAAAATTGCATA